TAATGCACATGTGTATTATTAACTAGACTGCCGAATATATGGCCACGCGTCGTCTTCACATTATACAAAACACTATTGCAGTGAGCGGCAGTTATTCTTGAGTGAGCGCGAAGTGATATTACAAATGAGCCTTTTGACATCATATACGCACACGGACCGAAGGCTTGATCGTTCGTTACGTGGCGGCTCTGCTGAAAATACCGACCGTTCCATGGCGGTCCTGCTGAGGGCAGATCGAGACCCGTGTGCCATGGCTTCTACTGGTAGATGATTGAATCGATTCACTATGGTCGGTCACTTCGGTCACGTCACGGCAAGATGTTAGCCGCAAGCGCAGTTGAGCTCAGTGGCAATAACCACACAAATCAAGAAAAGCAAAATTCACTTATAAAAATAAAGCTAATTTTAATTCAACTAGTGTAGTCATATAAATAAAACAAAACTACATAACAAAACTACTCTTTATTGAATACATGTACTATCTTGTCTTATTTACTTGGCCCTCCTCTACTCTCCTCCGGTACTCTATTTTTAGACAGTTAGGCATGCTGTGTTCTGGGCTAGAAATAATTGCTCTTGGGCTTAGGCTTGTGAATTTGACTTGACCGTTGTTCATTGTAATTAATTGACCTCTGCCTTGATTAACGTCTTGGCAATGCAATTTTCTTTGCATAAGAGTAAGTTTTTATCCTCATCTGGGCAAACCTTTCTGACTACCAGGTTTCTAGTTTCACTATCAATATTGTCATTTATTATTTCTGTTTTGATTGTATATGGGACACGTTGTTCTAGATGTTTTCTGTGTTCAATGTTCCTATTAGATCATGAGTCTGGAGAGTCAGTTTTCTGAATCTGTATTAAGTGTCCATAACACTTTCTTTATGAAACTTGTTAATAAATGAACTTAAATTGCCCTTAATCTTATGTACCTTGTTTTGTTTGTAGTTGCAATTGCAGTTAAAGAAGTTAATTAAGTAGCCATAAGACTGTTAATTTTTGTTCTTACTTTAGTTAAGACATCATCCGGTGGAATGCTTGCGGTCCGTTTTCTTAGTAAATCGTGAAGTGAAGAATCTATACTTGAAGTCTGGACTTACTTGAAGCTTTAGTGTGACATTTTCAGTTTCTCCTCACAGGCTAGATAGGAAGCTTCCATGCACGAGCTGCTTACACTTGAACTTTTCTTGTCTCTCCTTCTTGAGATGACGAGAATCTCAGTCCTTATGCGATATGTGCTTAACGAGACTAAATGTAACTGCATATTGAACAACAGAAGTAGAAAGATATTTTACAAGACTCAGCTGATCAACTTTTCTCTGGTCCTCCTCCTTCAGAATACGTTGTGACTTTTCTGGTGAGAATAAGTCGTTACTTTTTCTTGTGAGAATAAGTTATGACTTTTCCGGTGAGAATAAGTGTCGGTACATTGCATTGTCCTTCATAAATAGTTCACTGATTCGGTTCCACTAAGGACCCCTTCTTCTTTCCTGTATCCAATCAGAGTTTGACTTCGGGCAGTATGATGGATCATGCACGCCTTCATTTCCACTTTCTTCCGGGTTTACTCTTAAATATGCTAAATCGGGAAAGTGTCGGAAAGGGGGAGGGGGGGTTCTATTATTGGTCGTATCTCTCTTCTCTGGGACTTAGCGATATGATGGGTCCTCTAGGGCGTGGTCGGTTAGCTAGCACGATCGACAAGATTCAGTCTAGTTGAGAATAATGTAACCATTGTCTTAAGATGCCGAGTGCGCACGTACGCCGATTGCTTGTTGTCGCACGTGCGGGGTTTTGGATTGCAGTGAATTTTAGGAAATGTTTTGTACTTGATATTTTACGTATATCTGACACTCTTGAAATATTCTCATGTAAACAAAATCGAAACTTTCTTGCAAGTAAACAAGATCGTTTAACGCGACAAAAAACAATGAACACGATCGTGATGCGAAAATAAATAATATCTATCCTTTTCCAGTATGCAACGACCAAGGATATTTTGTAACAAGAAAACGTTCTCTCAATGTCGAACAGTAATTATATGAAACAAATGACCGATAGAATGGATATTAAATTAATTAATTTATTAATAATGCATTTGAGTAGAAAGAGAGTAAGTAATATTTGTTGTGGAAATTGAATAAAAACTGGGTTACGCGGTGGAGTTGAAGTAGACAATTATGAATGATTCAATGTAATGAATCGTAATCAGTATTAGATGACATAATTATTAATTTCCTAAACCATAATGCGATGGACGTCAAGCTATGGGTCCGCTCATGATATTATCAAAGTTAAAAAAGTAAGTATGTAGGATGAAAGACTGGGAGTAATTTTTCCTCAAAGTTGAAAATGTGCTGAGAGGACCTGGATTTATCTAAGTATAAATGCTCTTAACTGTCCAAAGCGACGTCAGAAAAATGATTTAGCCGAGGTTAGAGTAATTTTATCACGGATATGAAGCTGTTTTTTGGTGAGATAGACATTTTTTCTAGTAACGCGCACTGATACACAGTATCGCGCATCATTTGTATATCTGTCTGAAAAAAATGTATACGACACAGACAAAAAAATTAATAATAATTGTAATTATATCGAAATGTGAATTAGCACCGATAATATTAATCTTTACCTCAAATATTTAAGATTTATTAAATATTATTACATTAAATACGTTTGTGTTATACATTATATTAAAATTTTAATAATTAAACTAATGTATGATATTGAACAAAAATTCAAAGTTATATCTATATTTTAAGATTGAAAGAAGCATCCGTGTGTTTTCCGACAGAGTAAATCCTTAAAACGAATGGTATTTTGAAGTAAAAAAAATGAGATTTGGTATTTTTCAAGACTGAAGTATTGAGTTTTATTTAAAATTTTATAAGTAAGACTTCATTTTTCTGACAAATGACAACCATAGAATAGCAAATAAAAACAAAAAGCCATTTGATATGTGAGAACTACAAATTTTAAGTAAGTGAACTCCCTATAAACTGGAAACGTGAATTGAAAACATATAAAAACTTTATATACTTGATAGAGTCATGAAAAAAGTTATTTGCCTTTTCTATATATAATCACATATACTGGCGAAAATGGACAGATAAATATAATGGGATAGGGAGCTAGAGTGGGACAGAGAGAGAGAGAAAGAGAGAGAGAGAGAGAGAGAGAGAGAGAGAGAGAGAAAGAGAAAGGGAGAAATATCTATGTTTACGGTATGGAAAAATTAGAACGAGTAAAGAAGTTGAAAAAAACACATATGTTTTAAAGGAGTTCAAAAAATGGGAAAACGAATTAATTAAAGACATATTAGAAAATATTTTCTATCTCTTCGTGCGTTAAATATATATTTGATTGAATCAACGAGACAGTTTTTTAAAAAATTTTATAATTTGATATAGTAATGCGCTGTATTTCTAATTTTTTGTGTTAGAAAAATTTAAAAATGTAAAGGTTTTATATATAAAACCCTTATTATATAATATTTTATATATGTTTATAATATCGACTTATGAAATAACTAGTTCCAATTAGTATACTTATTCATGAGTGCATATAGAGCTTCGCAATACGCACTTTGTGGTTTAAAAGCAGATTAACTATCAGTTTACGTTATTGTGAAGTTGCATTTGCTTTTACATTCAGATAAAGTGTACTGGGGTAATATGTCAATCATATTATTGTCTTGAATGCTTCAAGACTTTAGATTACTTCGGTATGAAATTCTTATTTATTTCATTTGTTTTACTGTTTATTCTCATTTAATAGCAACGAATTTAATTTAATTCGTAAATCAATGGAAAAATATGAATTTTAAGCTATTTATAAGGTATTTTGTATGTTATTTAAAATAAAAGTTATTTATTGTTTTATTTTCAGTGAGAGAGAGAGAGAGAGAGAGAGAGAGGCAGTGTATTATATGTATCGCAAGATAAATATCGCAACAGTCTGTTTCGAGTACTACAATTCATTTTTTAAAAGGAAAATAAAAGAAAAAACGTGAAAAAAAATAATGAAGTCTCGATTTGTATTTTCTCATAACCATCGATCTTACATTATATATCTAATTTTCATTTTAATGTCGTTTTTCTAAGGTTTTTAATGAAGGTTTCTTTTTTTAATAGTTAGCCTATAAGCGTAGGGCCTTAACTATCTGCGTACAAATTAGGAAACATGTTTATTTATTTGGTCATATCAGTGTCTGATAATTCATTAATAGAAAATGAATATGTCGCAGAGAATTACCGCTAGTCAGGTTATTGTAATTACACATTGGAGTATTTACCTTACATGAAGGATGGCTTAACTACTGTTTAACTAATTAAAAATAGATATAAAACAGAGACGGAGATAGAGAGAGAGAGAGAGAGATTGATTTGCGTGTCATTGTTTGTAAACGTAAATGTAAAAGGAATGATCGTAGGCGTTGGGTAGGGTCACCGACGAAAGCAATGCATGACAAACCGAAATCGGACGGCACTTCGTAGGTAGCAATGGTTAGCGAGCATTAGCCGAGAGTAATGCGAGAGCGAGAGGGAGGCACAGGTTTATGACGATCGGAGTATAGTGCGACGACGTCATAGGCAGCAAAGGAGGTCAGAAAGGGCGCGTGTATACGAAGAGGAGACCTAGAGATCGAAGAATAGTAGACGTAAAGCAAAGGTAGTAGTGGCCGTAATTGTGGCGTAATCGGGACTCGTGCGCGAGGGCTGGAAAGAAGTTCGCGGTAGTTCGGAGGGGCGGTTGTTAGGGGGCGGCCTCGGCGCCGGTCCGCAAGGTGGGAAAGGTCGCCGGGGGGTGAGCGAAAGGTGGAAGCCGCACTAGGCGCTCAGTCCGACGGCGACGTTCCTCGGTAACGCAGCGACGTGGCTGTGTCCGCTAGCGAGGATTGAGCACGTGTGTGCGGGAGTGCGCGAGATGGGCTGCGCGGGGCCGGGACGAGGCCTCGCAGCGGCGCCTCGAACTTGTCACCCAGTGACCACTGCCAGAGGACGATGAGGGGCCCGACGCTGCCCGTGCTAACGCTCCTGGCCCTCTGGGCGGCCGGACGCGCCAGCGAGTTCCCTGAGCGCGAGTGCTGTGACCCCATTTACCCGGTGCCAGAGCCCACGAGCAGGATGCCCACCGTGCCCACGCCGACCGGCAACAACGGTGAGCCGACCGGATAATCACCGACCGCACGGCTTCGGCTCGTGGTAGCGGAATTTTCTAGTCCCTTATGGTCCCTTTGCTCGAGACCAATGCGAGTCACCACAAATGAATCACATCGCCTCGGGTTTATGAGCCGAGCTCTCGTTGCGGCATTGGATGCGCGCGAGTGGATATTATGGGCTTTTTCGGGAATAACTGTCGATTAGAAGCTGCTTGGTCGATGCAGATGGGACAATCGTTGAAATTTTCGAATCTTATTAGCTGATTATGGATGACGAGCGATGTCGCATTTTCAACATTGCGTGATTAATAATGTTTTTGAATTGAGAATTAGGTTTCGGAATTTGTAATTTTATAAGACTCAACAATACGGCCAACTATGATATTTAACAATGCGGTAATGGCAAATCGACGTATGAAACGAGGAAATTTGAATTAAATGAGCCAGAATTATGTTTTTAGCATAAAATATTAATGATCCTATAATTGGAAATGTCTTATTTCGAAATTCTATCAATTATCAAACATTATATTTAAATAATAAATTCTATACTTTACTAACATTAATAGTAAAATCTACAATATTATATTCTATAATCAATTGGATGAATATACATTTAAGGCGATAAATGGGATTTTTACATTTCAAGGTCAAATGCTTCGAAAGACCAAAATTTATTTTAACATAGCTAAAATTAACCTCATTGAGTAATGTTTTGCCATGATTAACTAATTTATTTGTAAGAAAAAGGTAAAAATTGCTTAATCAGAACACAGTGGGCAGTATTTCGGATTTTCGATACATCAATAAAACAATCTGAACAATCCGTTTATTAAGTTAAAAATCATATTAATTCTTTTGACACTAAGTTTCCGAGTTATAATCAGTTAAGACAGAGAGGGGAAGAGGGAGAGACAGAGAGAAAGAGAGAGAGAGAGAGAGAGAGAGAGAGAGAGAGAGAGAGTGATAGTGAGAGAAAAAGGCCGCTAGCTATTTTCTAGGCGACCTACTTCGCTACACAGGACTGCGCACATACGTCAGGTAGACTTTAACTAACTAAGAACTAATTTGGAACGAATTCTCTAACGCTTTTTCTTTTCCAGTTCTCTTCCTCGCACACGCTCATACATAGACACAAATTTTCTCTCTCTCTCTTTTTCTCTCTCTTGTTTTTTTACGAGGATGCTGAAGTTCTTCTAGGCTTTTCAGGACTACAGGTGGACGCGTGACCTACAACTAACAATTTGCTTAAAACCTCCGATTTTATTTTCTCTTCATATTAGTAAAGATTCAAGTGGTAATATGTAGGTGGTTAATTAAATTACAATTTTTAAAAACTAAATAAAAATGTATTACGCGAATTAAGGTAATAAAGGTTAATGACATGCCTGATTGATATAGTGAATGTATTGTATCTTAAAATTTATTGGAGTACCTTTTATCCAATATTAGACTCTTGTAATATAGTGTTTTATCATTAATTAATAATATAGAAAACAATATAGTAATTTAGGTAATGTTTTAATTAGCAGCTACAACAAATAAATGCTATATTTAGAAATATATTTCATTGATTTTGAAATCAACAAATGAAATTGTTAATCATAGGGCGTTTGCAAATGATAAAGTTGATGTTAAAGCAATTATTTGATTTTGCAAGTCTCTGTCTATTAATTAGAAATAGTAAAACTATTGTACGCAACTGCACATGGCATATTATATATGATTCCACCACCATCCATCATAGAACTAACGTGTCCAAATATTGTATAAAGACATAATTTGCTAGTAAAATTTTATTATTATTGCATCATTAATTTTTAATATTTTTTTCTCGAAATATGAGAAATTCTACTTGTAAAATGTTCCCATTTTATCTCATATTAAATACCTATGATTACGCCTATAAATATATATTTGATATTAAATATAGAGAAAAAAATATTTCGTTTTTATTATTTGATAATGTGAATTTTAAACAAATTATAATGAAAATAAGTGGTAATATTCTTTTATCATAACTGCAGAATGTACATAGGAAAATTATTTCGTATTGAATATCATTCAAATGACAGCATAATATTATAAAATATATTTGGTTGTAGGTTCCACGTAAAAAGTGTTTCGTTACAGTAATTTTATATACTAAATTTTTTTATCCACTATTTTTTCAATAATGGAGTTTAATTTTTTTCTTCATAATTATTAATATTAATACGCAAACAATTTTCTTGTATAAAAAATATGTGTACTACGGACACTTCTGAAAAGCAGAATTATAGAAATAATTAAAAAGTAAAATATTTTTTGTTAAGTAACGTGTCAACGTGTATTTGAATTAGTGCATATGTACATAATTTACAATCCTCTAATTAAGAGTGACAGTGTTAGTTACGGTTGAAAGTAATGTAGTTAAATATAGATTAGTTACCTATTCGTTAATATTACTACTTAAATATATTTTTTTCGCTTAATCTCTTTTTCCTAGATTTTTGTATAATCAATTTTTTTATCACCTTCATAAGAATGTTTTAAATTATTTTATGAATTAAAATAATTGTATAAAATATTTTTATACACCAATATCAATTTTAATCGTCATAAACAAACATTATATGAAATATTTAAATTCAATCTTTTTCAAAACATACTATGTAACTATTATGGAGAAAAAGATTTTTAAATTAAATATCATTCTTTTCTCTAAATTGTCAATTATTATAATTCAAAAGTATTGTTATAAATAACATGTTATGACAGATGCTTATCCATTAAGCTTATCCATTTATGCTAAAGAAAAAGAAATATTATATTTTAAAATTTCGGCAAATATTAAAAAATGGGTTTATCAGAAATATTTTCTTTATAACTTATCTTCGAAAGAGTTGCATTAAAGAAAACTAATGCACATGTCTTTGTTAATTAAACTGAATCTATTACACGTACGTTCGTTCGCTAATATTATCAATTATATGTAGGTTTTTAGATCGAAAGCTCCAAAATAAACAATTAACAATTAGTAACTATTTTAAAAGCAAATATCTTTTACATACGCATAATTGAAAATATCGTTTCCTACTTATAATTAATTAATAAATTCTTATTTTTTAAAGTGAAATTAAGACGAACAATTAAATTTGCTTAATTAAAGTACCGTTTTCAAGAAAGAGTATTTTGGTAGGACAGAACGGTAGAATGAGGCATCAAGTATTTTTAATGTAATTACGATTTTAGCAAACTTACTTTAGTTTAATTTGTTTTAGACATTATTGCACTTAGGCATTAGTTTGATCCGAATTAAAATAAATTATAATAACAAGCTTCTATCTTTACTTATAATTTTAATCATTTCATTTATCACAAGTATTATTGAAATCGTAACAACGATATTGTTAAATTTTCATTTTTTAGGTAAATTGAAAAAGCATTGTAATGTATTTTCTATAAAGTGATATGTTAAATTGCACGCAAATAAAATCGAAGTAATATTGAAAATATATTATTCGTAATACCGAGAACGACTGAGTTGTAAAAATATAAGCTACCGCCATCTTTACAGATTATCGACTTTAAAGGAAACGCCGGTTTTATTAATTTTTCTATTCGAAGCACTTGAGGTATCGGTACATTTATATGTGGATGCTCGTTTTTCTCCAATGACTAATCAAAATCGATATCTATGTCTATAAAAATAGAATTGAGGGCCTCTTTTCAATCAATCAATAATATTTAAGTTTTTAACAATTCTGTGCAACTCTTAATACAAGTATTTCAATTAAAAAATAAGTAGAATAACAATGGAGACTAGGGTACACGATTTTTCAATCAGCAGCGAATTGCAATAAAAATGAGTAAAGGTGTCGACGGAGGACATGAGGGCCATCCGGCATAATAAAAGAAGTACCATCGTGTCGCCGGTAATATCGATTTTAATCGTTGCGAACAAACATTATCGGAAACATTCTAAATTTAATCTCCAATAATCGTGCCTCCATTTTCCATCTTTGAATCTGCATGCCTTTGTGTGCATATCTGCACTTAAATGTTTTGTTTGTTTATTTGCGGACGAGTTTAACGTTTACCTTCTTTTACATCAGTGTAACATATATCCATTTATACATGAAATAAGGCATTATATAGTCACAGATGATTCGAAAACAGATGAGAATCGATTTTGGATATTTTTTTACGACGCATTGACAAATCATACTATTACACTATATACACAAAATTTGTATCGAAAAATGGGTCACCTACGAACAAATCAAAATATTTATTAAAAATGATTATTTTATCAATGTCTTGTGATACTAAATAATTATTATGTAACTATTATTATTATTATTATCGTTATAATAATTATTATAATTACTATTATTATTGATATTATCATTATCAATATTATTATTATATAGTAGTAGTAGTAGTTGTAGTAGTAGCAGTAGTAGTAAAATCTAATTTACCAATTACAATTTTATTGTAATAAATCTAATTAATGCATCACGAGTTAATAATGACCCAAATAATTTAAGGAAAATCAACAATTCATCAGCTCTCATTAAATATACACTTTTATTAAAGCATTTATATCGTAGTACGAATTTCGCAATATCTTAACAGATCACTTATCAGAGACTTGTCAAATTGTGTTTGTGAGTTGAAATTATTGTTGCAATTTAATATAAAATTACGCTTATATATAGAAATAGTTTTTTGAGTCGATTTAAATTAGTAGTAAATATCATCTTTGAAAATTCGAGACATTAAAGAGAACTAATTTTTAGGCAATTGTACTTTTCCAATTTAAGAATAATGATGCGTAAAAAGTGACGTCTGTAAATCCTAAATATAATATCGACATTTATTTGTATTTATATAAGAGTTGATGGACTTAAGTAGATAGATGTCACTATGTAATTATTATTGATTTTCTGATAGATTATATTGAATTAAATACGCACGGAAATATACCTTAGTCGATTATTTGAATTGAAGCTGA